GTGTGTGTGTTTGCGTGTTCTTTTTTTATTAAATATGGTCCGAGATGTTGTACTTTTCGATGATGGCGTGTGCATTATAATAAAAAATTGAGCGGTCAGACCCATCCTTCTTTCGTTCAATCACACAATAGAATCTTATTGGTTAATAATACTCGTGCTATTTTAACATATATTGCATAGTCCTCCGAACACTTGAACCAGATATTGCGAGCCGATTATGTTGTGCATACATGTAACTAGAGTATTTGACTTACCTATGTCATTGTATAAATATAAAAGATGTATCACATTGGATACATGTAAAATAGGTATGAGATCGAATATATGTAAAATGTGTAACGTTGGATATATGTAAAATGTGTGACGTTTCTTATGTGTAAAATATGTGTGACATTACATATATGTAAAATATGTGTGACATTGCATATATGTTAAATATGTGTGGCTTTTCATACATGTAAAATATGTATGACATTACATCTTAGTAAATTACGCTTGTCTCTACACTCTTAACGCAACGAATGTGGGTACCTCGCTATCCATGCGCAACAGGTCTTAGAACTACTTAACGACAGCAATGGCGAGGCTCAAAACAGGGCTGTTCACTGCATGGGCGCACTAGCCCTGACCTTAGACGAAGACCACATCAAACATGCGCTGGATACCCTGTGCAGCAACGTAGAGAGCACCTCACAGGACAGGGAACAGCTCAGAGACGTCTCCATTATGGCGCTCAAGCGGATCATAGAGCAGCGGACACGGGCGCAGAAGGAGGAGGATAAGCAGAAGGAATCAACTGCGGTGAGTGGATGGGGTGTGTGAGATTGAGAGAGAGAGAGTGTGTGGGTGTGTGTCTGATTGTGAGAGAGAGTGTGGGTGTGTGTCTGATTGTGTGTGTGAGAGAGTGGGCGTGTCTCTGATTGAGAGAGAGAGAGAGAGTGTGTGTGTCTGATTGAGAGCGAGAGAGAGAGGGTGTTTGTCTGATTGTGAGAGAGTGTGTGGGTGTGTGTCTGATTGAGAGAGAGAGAGATAGTGGGTGTGTGTCTGATTGAGAGAGAGAGAGTGGGTGTGTCTGCAAGCAAAGCTCTGTATAGGTGGGCGAGTCAGTACACACTTCGATTTAGGGGTTTAGAAACCCTTAACCCTAAACCCTAAACTCTAAACCCTAAAACCCACCGGGCAATGGTCTGCAAGCAATAGATTGTTTCGCACATCGATGTATCGGTTTGCATAGAGCTACACTGCTTCTCGCACCCACTCGTGGCCTCGGAGTTTGCGCAACTGCACGCGCGACCACAGACTCACCAACGTCAGCTGGCACGCATGCTATGCTGCACTAACCACTATCAACCACCCCACCCCCACAACAGATCAACACAGAAATAGGCAACAGCCTGGTAGCACGCTTCGTCAGGGCCATCAACGACGCCAAACCCGCGGACGATTCCATACGCCTGGAGGCTTTAGGGGTGCTGAGCGATGTGTTAGCCGCATATGGGCACTTGGTACCCACGCTACACAGTGACACTCTGGCGTGTCTGCTGCACCAACTGACGTATACACGCAGTGCTGTGCGAAAGAGAGCCATTACGGCAATGTCGCAAGTGGTCGGGGCTGTGGATGAGGCAAAGGTGGGTCTATGGGTGGATAGTGTGTTGAATAGTTGGATATATATA